CCTGTGTACAAGCTCGTAACAAAGGGCGCCAAAATCCATTTCGTCGCCCAGTAGCTACGACCGTTTTTTTTTCCAACCATTCTTCCCAACCCTGATACCAATCAGGAAAGGGCTAATTTCTCCCGAGGAGAGATTCCTTTATTTAGCATTGGTCCCTCTATAGCAGCCATATCCATTTTATTAAGTTTTTTAGTTATCCCTTTGGGATATCGTTTTGTTTTAGCTGATCAGCCACACTGGGACTGAGACACGGCCCAGACTCCTACGGGAGGCAGCAGTGGGGAATTTTGTATGGCCAACCATTGCGGGTAGAATGCTAGATGCCCAGGACCACGTTACTATTATTTCGTTCACCGGGGCTTCGGTCGCCGGCTTCCCTATCATCAGTTCACCAACTTCCTTGACCTTCCGTATATGTGAAACTATGTTCTTAGAACACCTTCTTCCATGCACATTTTGCATGCAGCTACTTCAAAACTCAGTTAGTTAATCCAATGCCAGTACCGCAACACATTTGTAGCCACCACTATTTACTTCAGGAGACGGCTTACCGAAATGGATCATTCTAGATATTTAAAGAATCACACTACCAATCCTTAAACATTTCTGGAAACCACACTAGATCAGTATCGCAGTGCTCGTCAGCTTCCCAAATTGGGTAAAAATGCAATCCGATCGCCGCAGAAGACGCCTAAATCCGGAAGTAATCAGAAAAAGAAATTCCATTCTGGGAAAAAAGAGCAATATCGTATTCGTCTTCAAGAAAAATAGAAATTGTGTTTTCAGGAGGATACTTCCGATCCTGCTTGAACAAAACGAAAGATATTATCGATGAATAAAAGCACGGGCCAAATAAGGCTTAGCTGCTCTTAGAACAAAGGAGTCCATATTAACAATGAAAATTTGCGCATATATAATAATAAGAAACATTAAGATGAAATAATCTTATTTTCTTATTAGCGACAGAAGTATGGAAATAGGATAAGGTAGCGGCGAGACGAGCCGTTTAAATAGGTGTCAAGTGGAAAAAAACGAATCCTTTTGTAGCTCGTCATTTATTGGCAAAAATCGAAAAGAAGGTATTGCGAGACAACCAGAAGCAGAAGGTAAAATAAGAGGTACTTTATTGCGTAGTCTAGCTTTTCTGAATAATCCCCCCTTTGCCGGATTATTACCAATATAATCATAAAGGGCTAATTTTTCGGGAATTTTAGACCAAGCTTCTGATAAACTAGCTGGTCCGAGAGGATGATCAGCCACACTGGGACTGAGACACGGCCCAGACTCCTACGGGAGGCAGCAGTGGGGAATACCACCTAACGATTTTATTTCCTTTATGAGGTAAAAAGAAAATCGCCTATACCGTAAAATCGATTTTCGACCCTTTAGTTTTGCTTCACAGCCTAGAATCAGGTTTCTTTTGTAGAGAAAAAAATGCAGACGGTTCTGTAGAGGGACAATAAGGATGACTTATCTGTCGACTTTTCCACTATCAACCCTAAAAAACCCAACTCTGCCTTACGTAAAGTTGCCAGAGTACGATTAACCTCTGGATTTGGAAAAAGAATTTCACGTTCTTCCTTTCAGGAAGGGAGGATTAGGGAAGTCCTATTGATTACTGCTTTCTCCGGACCGAAAATTCACTTCAACTATTTGTATAAAAATACTTCGAAGTTGAAGAGAAGTATCCAAATGGGTAGCGGTGAGACGAGCCATTTAAATAGGTGTCAAGTGAGTCGAAGAAGTATGAGAATTTTATAACTACCCAAAAACGACCTCCAGGTTTAGGGTTTTCCGTTTCCGAACACTAGGAAAAGGGAGGATTCTAGATTTTCGATCCTAGGGTTAAAAGGAAGCGGACAGATACCCGGCGGAACAAACCAAAAAAATTGCTTTATTTGGCGAAAGGATATCAATTGCTAGAACCCTCGATAAAAGAAAGGATGGAGTGACAATAAAGAGACCCATCTATCTACAAATTCTATTTGTTCAATAGACCTTTGTCAATGGAAATACAATGTAATTAGATAGAAAAAAAGCCCTATGCGAAAGAAAGTAAGGTGTCAGTGCTTTAAATCGACCGATGGATTGCTTCACTCACTAACATCATTAACAAACAAAAGAATAAATAGAGGGATTCCATTTTGGAGGCTCATAAGGGCCCGTTTACAGGACAAGGCCATAAAGTTCCGGGGGAAGACCAAAGATCTTGCGCGACCGGTCCGCCAGAAAAACTCAAAAGAGCTACCAAACTGCTCTACTCCGCTCTGTAGGGCCGAAAACTAGTGGACGAAAGAAAAAGGTGCCGACATTCTTGCTTCCGCTTCGTCGACCCCCGCTTTCGCGTTTGCTTCCCAGTAGAAGAATTCTTTCATAGAAATAGGAGACATAATTTGAAGTGGGATTGACGAATAATATATAAAAATAATAGTGTTTCTTAGAAGTTTATGTGATCTTTTTGTTCAAATAACAATTAAGGTGAAGCGGGGAGACGGTCTTATCTTGGCTCGCAAACCCCAACAATCCCAAACCCCTTAGATAGAATCTGAGAATAAAACTCAGAATAAAAATAATTGCGGTAAATAGACCGACTAAATCCTTGTACGGCTTCCTCTATTTCTCTATAAAAACTTAGTGGCGCTTTGCTTGCTTGGAAACGAAGTAGAGTTCTTGGCCTCGATCTGATTGTCCCAGAGTTTGAATCAATTTCAGACGCTGATTTCTTGGAGATAAGATCTTTCCTTGTTGAATTTGATTCCTGCAAAGTTTGGGAGCGAATCGAGTTGTTTTGACCGACTTTCCTTCGGATCTTGTGCTCGCCCGTTCTGTGCTCGCTCTCCTCTGTCTGCTCGTTGCGTGGGTCGGGCTCCTGCTCGTGCGTTACCGTGTGGGCGCCGATGGCCACCGGTGCAGGCTGCTCTGCGTCCCTGTAGCAGCGTTGGATCAGCAGACCAGCGGCAGCGCCTCTAGCGCTCTCGCCCATGCCCAGGCAGGCGCTCGCCCGATGCCCGTGCCTTCCAGCTCGTGCACAAGCAGGCCATCTCCTTCTCTGTGCCTGGACCGACTCCATCAGATCAAACTTCAGCAGCAGCTCGTGCTTTCTCTCTGTATTTCAGAAATCACAGCTGCAGGTGAGACAACAGCTACTGTTTTTCTTTAGTGGCAACAGCAGGTTCGGCACTAGTATATTCTAGCGGCAACGGTGGTGGCGCCGTCAGTGGCGGGTGCAGACATCATCACAACGCGGCCGGCCCAGGTCCCAACGGCCCAAGCGCGCGCCGTTCGGGGCAGTCGCAGCGGGCCCGCAGCGTCACCAGAAACATCAGCCACGACGTCAAAAGCAAAAGAAGGGCAGCGCCATGGCGGTTTGGCGGTTTGCAGCAGCCCGTCATGACAATGTGCGTACGCTAGCTTGGTGGGACGCATGGAGACAGCGCTGGATTGGCCAAAGAAGAAAGGGAGCGGACTCCCTCTTCGCACCGGTGGCGTGGGAACTGTGGAAAGAGCGCAACGCGAGATGCTTCCGCGACACCGCCTCCACTATATCCCAGGTGCTTTCGATCATCAAGCACGTCGCCAATCAATGGGTTGCGGCCGGGGCGTGCAACCCAGGTTGTTTGGTACGCGAGTAGTCGGCTTCGAATACCTCGCTAGGGAGGCTATGCCAAAATGTAAAATCACTTGTACTCCCTAGCGCGCCTTCATGGCACGTTGCGTAAAACATTCTCTTACTTAATACAATTAATGACGTTGTTACATGTATGTGATTTCCAACAGCTGTCAGGGAGAGTAAGAAGGTTAGAAACTGACTGGAGGTAAAAGATGCACTCTGGCCGTTGGATCTTCTTCGTCTTCTGCCGCTGCTACTGGCAAATCACAGTATTGATGTAGACACTCATATATACTCAATCCGTCCTTTTTAGCTGTCGTTCTTACTTTTCTTATATTTAACTTTGGCTGAATATATAAAGAAAATATTAATACTTATGGTACATAATTAGTATCATTTGATAGATGGTTGAATCTATTTTTATAATAAACTTATTTTGAGATACAAATATGTTGCTAATAATTTTTATAAACCTAGTTAGCATGAATACCATAGCCACCTCTTAATAAGGGACAAAGGGAGTACACCAAACTCATATCTATGAACATACGCATACACATTAATCCTATGAACATCTTCGAAAGATTGAGGCTAAGCCAATACATCTCTAATTCAAACAAGTGCGAGCACCAACATTGAGCCGAGGACTTAAGACCTGGTGAGCAGGATTCACCATAAAAAACAATCAACTAAGTTACGCTCAGTGCACTCTGGTTGTAGGATTTATTTTGATCTTTTGGTTTAAAAAAAAGTCCTCAGGTGGGGGGAGCACCTGAGCGATCAATAGACAGCTTCTTTTATTTTTCGATCAGTAGAAGATAACCATACTGGTACACTAGTCATAACAGTGCATGCTTGTCCGAAGCACATTGTGCAGTTCACCGTATACTGAACAAATTACACATACCCCTACTTCTTACACGTCATCCATTCCAATTGTGAAACCTTGATTGCATGCATTTCGCTGGCTATTTGCTTCATATTCGAACGTTCAGATGGTAATGAACGTGTGCAAGAAAGTGCTACTTGCACCAGATCCAGCAAGCATGTGTTGATCTCCTTTTCTGGTACATTCTTGCCTTGAGTTAAGTTCTTGCATTCTTCCACGAGATGAACATCAATGACGTCAAATATTTGACTCTGAAAGCTGTTCTCCACAAAGCTGATAATGTCCAGTCCGTCCATGAACATAGCATCTGTCGGCCTTTTGCCTATCAAAATCTCCAGCAATACTATCCCAAAACTATAAACATCTCCGGATGTTGACACATGCCCACCACTTCCATATTCTAAATTAAACAAGAAAATGTGCACAAAGAAATTATGCTATAAACATTTATCATCTAGGAAAATTTGAGGTACCCAATAAAAAAAATACCGAAATAACTACCTGGAGGGATGTATCCAATTGTGCCCTTCACACCAATCGAACTAATTGAACCTGCCCATGTTGACTGAGGATCCGCAAAGAAACGTGCAATTCCAAAATCTCCCAGAAGAGCATTCATATCATCGTCTAGAAGAATATTGCTAGGCTTCAAGTCACAGTGAACCGTGGGACGTCCACAATCGTGGTGCAAATAATCCAATGCATCAGCTATGTTAACAGCTATGCTTATTCTTTGGGTCAAGCTTAGACGTTTTGGAGCCTCCTCGTCCCCTTTGTGATGTAACCATGTGTCCAGGCTTCCATTAGGCATGAGCTCATAAATTAAAGCTTTGAAAACATTTCCTGTATTATCTACAGTTGAGCAAGCAGTTATGATTGGAAGAAGGTTACGATGCTGAATACTTCTAAGTGCTTCACACTCTGCCACGAAGCTTCTTTCTGCACCTCGCATCTCAAGATCAAAAACCTTCACCGCCACTTCCATTTTGCTTTCCTTCAACTTTCCTCTGTACACTGAACCATAGCTTCCTCTCCCAATCAGGTTGGATTCTGAGAAATCCCGTGTTGCTTGAGTCAGGTCACTAAAGGTAACTTTCTCAAAATGCTCACCAAAAGATTGCTCTGACGACATATATGCTCTTGACCTCTTCCTCTCAAGGAGTACAAAGTAGACGAGTAATACGAGTGACATGAACCCAATTATTGGGATCAAAATTTTGATTAAATAATTTACCGCTCTACCCTTTTTATTCATTACATGGCATGGCCGAAGATGCAAATCCGTGGCTCCTCCACACAGTCCCGGATTATCATCAAGTGAAATAATGGTAGCATTAGCAAATACTCCATTTGTTGGCACTTGTCCTTGGAAATTATTGTAAGATATATCTAGTTTTGTTATAGTCTTCAAATCATTTAGAAATGCTGGCAAGGGGCCAGACAGATTGTTATGCGAAATATTGAGAATGCTCAAGGTATATAGATTGCTGAAGGAGCTTGGGATGTTTCCTGTAAGAATATTTTGGTCCAATTGAATGGTCTGTATATGTTCAAATTTTCCCAAAGTTTCAGGAATTCCCCCACCAAATTTGTTTGATGAAATATTTAGAGTGGTGAGTTGTCCCAAATTACCAAGCTCAACAGGTATGCCCCCTTGGAAATTGTTATAGCTAAGGTGCAACTCTGACAATAATTTAAGGTTTCCCAAGTTAGGTGGTACAGACCCAGTGAACTGATTTTCAGCAAGAAAAAAATTTGTCAACCTTGTAAGACGGCCAATGGAAGGTGGAATTGTCCCGATGAAGCTGTTCGATTGGAGTTTCAGAAGTTCTAGTTTTGTCATATTTCCGACCCATTCTTTAATTGTACCGGTTAGATTGTTATGATCTAGAGATAGTTGAACTAAGGAACTAAGTTTTCCAATACTCGGGGGAACTATTCCTGATAGGTTGTTTTTAGACATTAGCAACCGTGTAAGACTGATGGATAGGTTTCCAATAGAATTTGGTATGGTTCCCTGTAGGTTATTACGAGACAATGAAAAAGCTGATAGAGAACGACAATTTCCCAGGGTATGGAGGAATTCCCAGCCTTCATTATCTGTTGCTTGAAGCATGTTTTTTTCAAGGTTAAGATAAGAAAGCACCGTGAGGTTTCCTAAAGAGTTTGGGATTTGGCCAGTGAGACGATTGTCTGATATATCTATTGTTTCTAGACCTGCAGGTTTTCCTAGGGAAGCTGGAATGGGACCCTCAAAATTGTTGCTTGCCAACAGTAGAACCGTGAGATTAGGTAGAGCATAACCAATGTTAGATGGTAATGTGTTGCCTAGCATATTGGATGTCAAGGATAATCCCCCAAGAGAAGATACATTAGATAGATCTTGTGGCAATCTACCTGTTAGGTAATTTTGGCTTAGGTCTAACAACTCTATGTTTGGCATCTGCCAAACCTCAGGAATTCCACCTGATAGGTTGTTTTGGTTTAGGTGCAACTCCAATATATTTGGCATTTGCATAACCTCATGAGGAATGCTTCCAGTGAGTTGATTTTGTGTAAAACTGAGTATTTGTAGATTGGTGATGTTTCTCAGGGCTGCTGGGATTCCTCCAGTGAGATAATTATTATCAAGGAAGACACGTTTTAGACTGGTAAGAAAACCTACTGTAGGAGGAATAACACCAGTGAGGTGGTTTCCAGAGAGAAGTAGATAGGCTAGGTTGGAACAGTTTGTGAGTGCGTCAGGAATGGGGCCATAGAAGCTGTTATTCGATAGATCAAGCTTTTCAAGGAAGGCCAAATTTCCAAGAGAGGAAGAGATATTGCCACCTAAGTTTTTGCCGGAGAGGTTGAGTTGCGTGACACGTAATGGCCGCCGCGTCGAGGTGCAGTTCACACCATACCACCGACAGAAGTGGGTATTCGTGTTCCAATTGTTCAAGGCTCCATTATGGTCGAGGATGCCTTTCTTGAACTCGAGCAATGACTGAAAATCTTCGCTGTTTTCATGAACCGTCGAGCAATGGACGTTGCCGACTCCATAACACAGCAGTAACAGAGGCAACACCACAACCATGGCGAGTTTCGCCGGCGGTTTGGAATGACGCATGATGCACTTAATTGACACCTGCAATGATTAATAAAGCATAAACTTGGCGCTATTACTAAAGAAACCACGCTGTGTTCATGCTGTAATCAGAGCTACGAACGATCCCCATTTTTAAGAAAGGGAAGGCAGATGCCCACTATAACGAGAAACCAAACACAACTGCAGCGAACAAGCTAAAACGAACAATTAAGTACTGACAGCTAAAACGGACAATTAAGTACTGACAGCAGTAAGAGAAAGTAGGGTACCTCTGCTCCGCCGGTAGTCCTTTTGATCTGCTTCGCTTTGCTTGCTAGTTGGAGTTTGAAGCTTTAAGTTGGATGCTCTGCTGGCAGATGAGACCCCAGGGGGTTTAAAAACAGTTTACAGCACCATTACATCCACACACGGCGCCACATCTTAGCTTGACCGCCATCTCAGCGAGGACCTTGAGTCCGTCAAACTCGTCAGTTACCGCCACTATTCAGCTTCCATCACGTCGCGCAGCTGCGCCGTCGTTGTTTGAGGTGGACAAGATTGTTACGGCGTGTCCAGCCTAGAATCCCATAGTACTTTTCAGCAGGAAACGGACAGAGATATTCCAAGCTGATGTTCGACCTGTCTGGTGCGGTTTCGATGCTGACAAAAATTAGCTCGCGGAATGGTCTACGGTGACGGATTTTCGTGTTGAAATCAAATTTGTTTTTTTTTTTTTGGTGATGATCGCTTCCAGAATATATCGTGTGGACATGATTCATCCATAGGTTATTTTGATAGCTGACAGGGTAGCAGGTCAAGTCAACTTATTACAAGTCTATCTGTACACTGCCGTGCTTGCCACGATTCTTGCAAACTGTGAGTACCGTTGGAATTGGAAAAAAAAATCTAGTGAAACAATTAGATTTATTTATGAAGGATAAAATAGTTTCAACTATACATTTGTTAAAAGAATAAAAAAATACTAATTTCAGCATAAGAGATAAATACGAGATATTCCTCCAAGGAGACAAATATATAATCTTCGGGGTTAGTTTTCCCCAAATTTGAAATTTCAAGTTTAAACTAGCACAATCACCATCATTGAGGTGGTTGGCTTTGGGAATTATTGAATAATATAATAGTCAGCACTTTCATTAACATAGCTTAACACATGGTGCTTTTTGGGACGGAACCATTCATGTTGTGTGTTTGGTTTTAAAGGTTAGGATCATCCTTATTCTGTGTTTGATTTGAGAACATCAAAATATGGTATGAGTCATTTGATAGCAGGATCCGTTCGTCATCCTCTTTTCCGTTCTTCCCCCTAACCGTAGCTCACCACCGTGAGTGCCACTCCGCCACCAGCTATCCCCTCCATGGCCAAGCTCGCCCGCACCCGCAGCTACCCCCACACGTGTTGCTCCGTCCTTAGCCCACCCAGCATGCTTGCCCCTCCACAGTTGAGCCTGGAAGCACCACCGTTGTCGCTTGCCCTGTGTGCGCCGTGTAGCCACCAACTCTACTCTTCATAGACGCATCCGCCAATGTCGCCATTGTAGCTCGCTTCGCATGGGCCGCTGCTAGCAAGCTCACCTTCCGTGCGCCACTCTGCTGCCTCACTCACGCTTAGCTGTCACACACGAACAAGAAGGGGGACTCACCAGTCCCCTTGATTCAGAGGGATGGGGCAACCTCGCTTTCATGGATCCTGTCCTCATGAGTCCCCAAAAATAAAACTCGAAAATAGGATCGACCGTCCCATCCTACTCCATCCTCCAAACTAAATGCATATGGGCTAAAAATTATTGAAACAGAGAACGTGAGTTAAAAAAACAATCAGTGGGGATAGTCCCAGTTGAAAGCTCTAGTTTGGTTTTGGTGAATTGATGAAACCATAAGTGCTAACCTAGTTTATCAAAGTGATTATGAGATAGGTGGCACATTCCAAGTGGTGAAACAAATGAAGATCATAAACATGATGATGGTGATGCTATGATGATGATCACATGCTTGGACTTGGAATAGAAGAAAGAAAAACAAAAAGCTCAAGGCAAAGATAAAATTGATAGGACCTTTTCGGTTTAGTGATCGAGACACTTAGAGAGTGTGATCACTTTTAGGATCGATAGCCGTACTATTAAAAGGGGTGAAACTCGTATCAAAATGCGGTTATCAAAGTGCCACTAGATACTCTAACTCATTTGCATATGCATTTAGAATCTAGTGGAGTACTAACACCCTTGAAAATGTTTGTGAAAATATGCTAACACATGTGCACAAGGTGATACACTTGGTGGTTGGCACATTTGAGCAAGGGTGAAGAAGATAGAGTGGAAAATAAGTTGGTCGCGCTGGTCACTGAGTGACCGGACGCGTCCGGTATAGCGACCGGACGCGTCCGGTATTAACGACCGGACTCCGGCTCAATGGAGTGACCGGACGCTGAAGAGTTACTGTTCAGCATCCGGTCAATGAGAGTTAGCTCGGTTCAAGTTTGTAGAGAAGCGACCGGACGTGTCCGGTGTGAATCAGCAAAGTCGATGTTCAGTGTAACAGTTGATCGGACGCTGGGAGCATCTGGTCCGGAGTGACCGGACGCTTCCGGTCGGCCCTGGGAGCTTACTGGACTCGACCGGACGCTGCGGCTCAGCATTCGATTGTTTCGAACAGCGCGTCCGATACGACATGTCAGTGAGAGCCGTTGGCGGCAACGGCTAGTTTGAATGGGACACGTGGTGAACTGGCAGCGACCAGACGCAGGCGACCGGACACGTCCGGTCACTGACCGGTGCGTCCGGTCATCCCGCAGTCAGCCCAATAATTGAGCCAACGACTCTATTCGTAGGGGTTCTCTATTTAAGCCCCATGGCCGGTTCAAGCTCACTCTCTTGGCCATTTGCATTGACATAGCAACCTTGTGAGCTTAGCCAAAGCCCTCCCACTCATCTCCATCATTGATTCAACATCTTTGTGAGATTGGGAGAGAATCCAAGTGCATTGCTTGAGTGTTTGCATCTAGAGGCACTTGGTATTCGTGTTTCACTGCGGGATTCACTTGTTTCTCTTGGTGGTTACCGCCACCTAGATGGCTTGGAGCAGTGAGGATCATCGAGCGGAGGTTGGTGATTGTCTTCGGCTCCGATCGCGGTGATTGTGAGGGGTCTTATGCCTTCCCCGGCAGAGCGCTGAAAGGTAACTCTAGTGGATTGCTCTTGTTATTAAGTTACCTCACTTGTGGGTAAGTTCTTGCGGTGTCCAATTGTGTGGACGAGGTTCGTGCAACACCTCTTAACTGCCGAACCACCAAGTGTTGGTCGGCATAACGGGGACTAGCGTGCCGGCAAGCACGTGAACCTCGGAAGAAAAATTGGTTGTCTCTTGCCCTTTGGTATTCTCCCGGTGATTGATTTAGTATTTATCTTGTGATTGGTTCACTCCTCTACACGACAGTATAATCACCCTACTCACTCATTTATATTCTTGCAAACTAGTTGTAGTAAGCTCTTTAGTGTAATTAGAATTGAGAGCTTGCTTTATTGTTTTAAGTTCATCTAGTGGAGCTCTTTAGTGTAGCAAGTGCGAGAGCTCTTAGTGAGTAGTAACATAGCAAATTATGTGTTTAGTGATCATAGCAACTAGAATTGTTGGATAGGTGGCTTGCAACCCTTGTAGACCTAGAGCAAGTTTGTATTTCGCTATTTGTTATACTAATCAAATTGCTCTAGTCGGTTTGTAGATTTTCAAATAGGCTACTCACCCCCTCTAGCCATATTAGGACCTTTCACCAGTGGCGTAGCCATAGATCTATGCTCATGCACCTAACCCGTGAGAGCTATTTTTTCCCCTATACTCATGAATTTATATAACATTCTTATATGTTAGATTATGTTACATGCTTGTGCATGACCATATATCAAAAATCCACAGCAGGTGCTTATGGTTGAGCAGGTGCCTATGGTTGCTTCATGATTGTCCCACCAATTTTTTTTTCTGCATTGCTAGCGCCCAGACGTTTCGGACAGACGTCCGCGGCTGCAGTCTATTTTCGCACGTCCACGCATGGGTAGTGCCAAATAAACGTTGCTTCGCTTGCGCCTATGTCTCAAGCTGCCATCTTTGAGCACGCCAGACGCCTTGCCCATGGAGACCGCTCCAACCTCCCTCCGCTTCCCACACTCATCCCATGTGCGATATCCGATCTACTTTTGAAACTTTCAGATGCAACACTTGCAACATACAAAAAAAGGTAGATGAAACCCTTGAAACATACGTATAAAACACTTGCAAAAATACTTGAAAACCATTGTAAACATCTGCAACATCCGAATAAAACACTTTCAACATATGTATGAAAATATATGCAACATCTAAATAAACACGCTTGCAACATACGTCTGAAAAAACAGATCAAACGTTGGAGAAATACTCTTGCAACATACATGTACAACCATTGCAACATATGCAACATCCCGATATACTTTTGCAACATCCGCATAAACGCTTGCAACATACCTCTAAAAAATCTGAAACATTTGAAGTGTGAGCATGCAACATGTGTTTTCACCCTTCTACCGTGCACGCAGAGAGCGTAGCGAAAGCGGGACGGTTACGGCACGCACCGCCACCCACGCCTCGTCCCCGGCTTGGCCCGACAGTTTACGGTCCCTCTCTCTAGGGTGCTCCCGGTGATGACCGTGAGCGGGAGGTGGACGCTGGGCCATGGTGCATCGTTAGAGGCAGAGGTCTTCCTGGCCGCCGACCAGGAGTCCGAACCCCATGGTTGAGGCGGCTACGGTCTCCCTCTCTACGGGCGAGCAGCGGTTGGGCAGTAGTGCTGGTCGATTCGGCAGGTTTGCTGCCCACGACGAGCGGTCCCAGCAACAGAGAAAGCGAGCAAAGGGCGGGTGATGCGGTGGAGGCGCCCGCGGCGGTCGGTGCTGGGTGAGGAAAGTGTCACTCTCTTTTCTTTTTTTTAGAAACTATGTATATACCGTGAGGGGAGGACTTTGGGCTAGTCCGTAGGCGCAGCTAGCAGCGTCTGT